TCTTTGTGGCTAAACCATGTGATTCTGAAGCCAGGAATCTACCACCTCCTGCCTGTGGCCTTGGGGCTGAGCTAGGCAGTGGGGGCTAGCTTGGATGAGCTCTTGGTTGAGGGGGAAACCAACTCCTGGCTTAGTGCAAACCTTTCTATATGCTCATTCATTCCTATCCAGGACTCTGCTTTTGTTTACTTGTTTTCATCCCTAAGAAAGTGTTACCAGTTGGAGGAGGGAAGACTTCTCTCCTAAGCTCAAGTCAGAAGGTGCATTTGCCAGCAAGGATGTGTTTTGGAAGCAGACCTCTGATTCTGTTGGAGCTGGTTAAGACTGCCAACTTTGAACTCATTTCCTTGGATGTAATGCCATTAGTACAGAAACAACAAGCATTCAGGATGGAGAAGCCAGACTTGAGTTAATTAAACCAGCTTTGGGAATTTCCCTTCACTACAGATAGTCTTTGTATGTTGCAGAATGCAGAAAACTTGAGGGGAAAAAATGTAAGGTGCCTGTTACATTGCCTCTGTTAAGTTCATTTTTTTAATTACCTCTGTTAAGTTCAATTTTTTTTGAAACAGCTTAAAAATAGCCTTTTCTTTTTCTTGGTGCATATAAAGAGTTTTTAAATTGAGTTATAGCTTCTTTTTCTCTCAATTTTCCCTGAATGTTTTGCTAGTGGTAACTTGATTTGGGTGGATAATATGTGTTTAAGCGTTTGAGCATGGATTGCATAGATAATGCATTTATTTAGGAAAGCCTGTTTTCCTGATATGGGTTATATGCCACCCTTGCCATTTTGAAACCAGGGATTGCTTGCTAGCCAGAGATAGTTATGGTCTTGGCTTCTCTGAGAAGTGCTGAACTGCCTATTGCCCTGAAGGATTCCAGAAAGTTCTAGCCTTTTACTGAATAATGAACAGAAGTAGAAGAAAGAACAGAAATAGAAATGACAGTTTAAATTGTTTCTCCAGTGAACTCAAAAGTCTCTAGTATTCAGTTACTTCTTATGAATCAAAAACTAAACGCTGAGAGACCAGTGAAGGTAAGTATGGTTCCAGGACCAGATGATAGCACCAGGAGGTTATTGGCACAGCTCAGGCTCCCTCCTCTCCTGACTTCTGGCACTGACTCTGGCAAGCCACTTAACCTTCAGCCTGTGTAAGGAGAACCATGTTAATACTGCCTTTAAGCTCACCCTGATAGTTAAGTGCCATCAACATGTCAGTAGCACTGAGACTTGCTAAGTGAGGTAAATATTGATCATGGTAACTGTGTTACAGCCATTATTGAACCACACTGAATAGTAGAATGTACATTCTTAACCATCATTTCAGAGTGAGTGTTGAGCTGTATAGAAATACCTTAGCAATCTGAGAACTCTCAAAGGTAGAACTCTGTTAGTCATGCATAACTAAAATACTATTGGAATGTGCTATTCCAGTTACATAACCCTGGAAGTAGTTAATGCTGGTGGATCTTGTCCTGTTTGCATTGTGCATCATGTCAAACAAGCTTCAGGAATGCTCTCATCTCATCAAGTCCAAGTGGCACACTGACAGTGTTTTAACATCTGCAAATCAAGACTTCTCTTGTGATCCATAGTGGGTCATTTGTAACAGTGTGTTTTCTTTCTTAGTAGTGCCTAAAATAATTCAGCCTGCACTGGATGGCACCTTAGATTGCACGAAATGTGTTCATTTCTTTGTTCATTTTCAGGCTCTAGGCCCTGTTTGTAGTTACTCTGGTCTAGTAATTGGAAACATGAGTATTCTCAAGAGGCTTGTTCATCAGCGTTTAGCTGCAAATTTGTTTTCCATCCTTAGATAGTTGTCTGTAATTTAGTCCATTTGGAGAAGGCAACTAAGAATCAGTAGTCCTGCCAGTATTTTATATATTAACATCATAAAGCAAAAATACCACAGGGTATTAATGTTTATATCAGAGTGAACTTCAAAGATAAAGTCTAGCTTATTCTTTTACAGTGTTGAACTGGTTGGTCTTCCATGACTCCTATAAATACATGAGTGCACATGCACAGCATGCTCACACACACACACAGAGAGAGAGAGAGAGAGAGAGAGAGAGAGAGAGAGAGAGAGAGAGAGAGAGAACCTCAGTACAATAAAAGATTTTAGTCTGGTTGTTTTCATTCCTCTTATTTCTTTGTTTCTTGATCTTGTTGTTTTTCAAGACAGGGTTTCCCTGTGTAGCTCTGGCTATCCTGAAATTCACTCTGTAGACTAGGCTGGCCTTGAACTCGGAGATCTGCCTGCCTCTGCCTCCTGAGTGCTGGGATCAAAGGCATGCACCTTCATCATCCATGTGCCACCCTGCTCGTTCATCATATTTCTTAAAGGGATTCAATTCAACCTTGTTGGTCTGATTAAGAAATTAAATATTCATTAAAAATATCAATGTGGTTATTTTCTGACTGTATTTTCTTATTGACAGTGGGTTTGGGGAATGTTTGTCCGTGTGTGTGTGTGTGTGTGTGTGTGTGTGTGTGTGTGTGTGTGTGTGTATGTGTGTGTCTATGTGTGTGTGATACTGAGGATCAAACCCAGAGCCTTATGCATGCTATGCAAGCATTCTACCATTTATCTAAACCCCCAGACCTTTTTAGTTTTACTTGTAATAGGGTCTCACTAATTTGTCTAGCCTAGGCTTGAACTTGTGGTTCTACCTCAGTCTCTGCAATGCTGAAATTATAAGCATATACCACAATGGCCTGCCTAGGGTTTTTAAAGCTTAAAGTCTCAACTGCTTGTGAGGCTGAGGCAGGAGAATTGCAAGGTCTTTCTGGATACAGAGTGAGTTCAAGGATGGCCTGTGCAAGTTACAAAGACCCTGACTTAAATAGTAGGAAAGATCTAGGAACAGGGTATAGCTCAGTGGCAGAGTATTTGACTTGCTTATGGCAATCTCTGTTGAGTCCTCAGTACTGGAAAAAAAAACAGTACATTTTAAACTTGATATTATGTTCTTTCCAACTTGATATATGATTATCCATCGCTAGAAAAAACCAATCTAATTATGAGTATTTCAAAATACTCCACCCTTCAAAAAAATCACATTTTTCCACTAGATACTATTGTTAGTCTTTTAGAAGCTTGAAAGAGTTTGCTTTAAAATTCCCTTTTTAATATTAAAAAGCTTTACAATTATTTATATTTAATGTGTATCTATGTATCTATGTATGTGTGCATGTATGTTTATATGAGAGCACAAGTATACCATAGTGTGCCTGTGGCTATCGGAGGACAACCTGAGGGAGTTGGTTTTCTCCTTGGAGATACATTATGAAGAATTTAATAATGCCTTTTCTGAAAACCAGTATTAGCTTTTGTCTGAAAACCTTCTAAAGTTTATGAAATGTTTTATAGAGACTAAAAATTCATCTTTAGTCTTTTACATAAAGCTTCTGCTAAAAAAAAATAATAATAATGAAACAGTGACTGACACTCTTTAGCACAAGCAGTCTTATGGATACAGTTAGTTTAACCTTCCACTTATTTTTATCAAGCAACTAAGATAAAAGTAGAAAATGTCAGACTTAACTCTAGAGTCAGCTCCCCCTACCTGCCCCATAAAGATAACGTGAAAGTACACAGATTGTCTTCTGATGGTTCAGCATTTATAATATGTGAAAGTATATATAAAGAAATGGGAAAAATCAACCCCAAATGTAAACACATTTAAAAATAAGCACTGTTAACATTTTCTATTTTCTTGGAGTTCTGGTTTCTGTTTTTATTGCTTTAGTTAATGTAAAATAATGGCTTCCTTATGACACTTTTATACATGCACTGTACATTGCTCTGATTTGCCCTCTCCCATTGCTACCTGCTGCCACTCCTTCCTGCTTCTGCTCTCCTACTGTTTAGTCCTCTTGGTTTTATCACACACACACACACACACACACACACACACATTCATACATATGTATATACCACACACACACATATATATGCCACATATGTTGTGGCATAAGTATGTGTATATATGTATATATATATATATATGAGTGTATAAATCTATATACATTGTATATTTTAATACATATACTAACAGGTACATTTATATGTACAATCTTATATATGTAGACAGAATACTCTCTCTATATGTGAACTTTAAATATTTTAACCACATTGAATAACAATAATGTTCACACATTACTGCTGTATAGCACATTTATGTGTTTGTTGTCTTCTTCTGCAGTGCTTGGGATCAAACATACCCATGGCATCATGAACACTAGACAAGCATTTTCCCCAAGCTATGTCCCCAGCCTGCTTGACATCTCATATTCAGTGACTGTGTAGTACTTCCCCTTATGCTCTTAAGTAATTCATTCAACTCTTCCCCCATCTGGAGAACATTTAGGTTGCTATGCAGTTGTTGTTGTAAAAAGCATACAGCTGACAGCAGGGAGGCACAGCTATGAGAGGGGTACTTGACTGTGGTGTGGCAAGTGAACGATCTCCATGTCAAGGAGACCCATCAGTCAAAGACTAAAGGAAGAAAGGCTAACCTTAGTTCCCAGCTGTCAGAAGGAATGGCTATAAAAACTCCTGAGAGCTTGGAGGATAAAACCTACAGTGTTAAGAGCCCAGGAGAGCCAACTGCAAGGTTTACCCTCTAAAAAATCAAAACAGTGTCCCCTCTGCTAGTGATAGGACCCACAGCCAACTGGAAAGGCATTCGGGAGCAAGTGCATAGTGACTTTGATCTCTGAGATCTGGTGGTAAGACAAGGAAAGAAGTGAAGATGTGTGTAGAAGAGGAAGGCTGGGGATAGTGAGCACGTGGGTGGCCACTTGATCACACTCACAACGCCCCCTTCCAACAAAGTAGACTCCCAACGTAGAGCTGCTTGGAAGCGGGGACAGTTTGTGTGGGCAGCCCACCTTCTTGGCCCCAAAATTATTATTCAGGAAATAGTCTTTGCTTTTCAGAACTTTCAAGGGTTTAGTTTATTCAAGGAAGAAAAACAAAATTCTTTTTCAGGCAGCCTCTGATGAAACTGAGCCGAATGGCCAAGAGGATGGCAACAGTAATGGGAAGTTGGGGACACAGGATGTGGAGCTGGCCTCAGCAGGTTTGTTTCAGAGCACACTAGTTTTCAGGTAAAGCTTGATAACTTGTGTTAGAATGACGCCAATGTTTCCTACTAAACTGAAGGGCCGTGTTAGGCTCTATGATTGTGCTGCCACCTAGAGGCTCCGGTGAGAAATTTTCACTATGTCATTAATGTTGCTAAAAAGATATGAACTCGGGCTTTGGAGGGGGGTTGTTGTTGTTGTTTGGTTTTGTTTGATTTTTTGTACTCAGATATTTTATTTCCTAAAAGTATGTCCTCATGCTCATTAAAAAATACTTAATCCCTTATAGAAATAGCTCAAACACTGAGTTGTACTTGTTGCTTTGTAATCACTACGATAAACATCAGCTCAGGGAGGAAAGTGTTTATTTCATCTTACAACTCCCAGATGACAGTCCATCCATCAAAGGGGGCCAGGGCATGAGTCCATCCATCAAAGGGGGCCAAGTCAGGACCGTGGTGGCAGGAACCAAAGCAGACACCTTGGAAGGGCTGCTTACTGATAGGAGTATAGAGGAAGGCGTGCCATGTCAGCCTCTAGCACACACGAAAGAGAAAGTTAGTTTCTCACCCAGTCACAAGGGCAGACCAGTCTGCAGCTGTTCTCTTTTGCACCCCACTGTCATTAAATGCTTTGCGTGTCACGAGGTAGTGGGATGTGAACCGTGACTGTTAAGAGCAGTCTTTGATAGTAGGGCAGTTAGGTGGGGAATCCTGCCATCCCGGGCCCTTTGTTGGGTGTCATCGTCTGATGAAATCTTCATTGTGACTTTGCGGGAAAGTGACCCTTTGTATGGCTTCCTTTTTCTGCTGTTTCCACTTGTGACCCCCCCCCTCCAGAGCCACAGCATTTTACAACCACTGTGACTCGATGCAGCCCGACTGTGGCCTTGGTGGAGTTTTCCTCCAGCCCGCAGCTGAAGAACGAGGTGCCAGAAGAACGAGACCAGAAGAAGCCTGAAAATGAGATGAGTGGGAAGGTAGAGTTAGTGCTGTCACAGAAGGTGAGGACACCGCGGAGCAAAGAGTTAATTAAATCCACAGGTCAACATGGCTTCTGGGCGGCCAGCAGTCATGGGGGCTGGTGGTCTCACCTGATCTTTTTCCCTGTCTTCATTTTGTATTTCTTTCTAAAAACTACACTGCATGTTCATTGTTAAACATTACACACACTCACTCATACACTTCACACACACACACACACACACACACACACACACACACACACACACACGTTGTAAGGAGACACCATGACCAAGGCAATTTGTAAAAACAAACAAAAAAAAGGCATTTATGTGGGGGCTTGTTTACAGTTTCAGAGGATGAGTCCATTTTCAGCATGGTGAGAATTGTGGAGGCAGGCAGGCAGGCGAGGTGCTGGAGCAGTAGCTAAAAGCTGCTTCCATCTGATCCACAAGCAGGAAACAGAAGGAGACAAGAGACAGACAAACACAAAGAGACACTGGGCCTGGTAAAGAGCTTTTGAAACCTCAAAGCCCATCCCAAGTGTCACACCTCCTTCAATAAGGCCACACCTCCTAATCCTTCCCCAAACCATTTCACCAACTAGGAAAGAAGCATTCAAATATATGATCCTTTAGGGACCATTCTCATTCCAGCCACCTCTGTGTATGGAGAGAGAGAAAAGGGAAATATAGACATTTGCATTAGTGGTAGATAACCAAAGCATACCATTCTGAATTCTGTACTTTGAGCATTTACAATTCTTATTTAGTATTCCAGATTCTTAATTTTACTTCAATGTAAACATGTTGAAGAATCCTTTTACATTTAGGCTTCCACTTGCTGTGTATGGACTTAACACCAGATATTATTAGAGATGGTTGTGAGCCACCATGTGGTTGCTGCGAATTGAACTCAGGACCTCTGGAAAAGCAGCCAGCTCTCTTAATCTCTGAGCCATCTCTCCAGCCCACTGGCTTGTTTCTTAATGTGACATCTTACTAAATATTCTCTTCCCACTGTGTACCTACTCAGCAATGGTGTGTCTAATACCCCTGGATCTGAATATCAAGAAACTCAGGATACCATGGGCTTTAGAGTCTTGATCTTACTAAATGCAGTTCATATTTAGAGCCTTACTTATATTAGTTGGGTTTGTTTTTAAATGCCAGATCTAAAATCTCTTCACAATTTGTTTTGGTTAATGGTTTCTAAAGAACTCTATAACTATGGTATGCATTCCAAACCACATAGACACTGTCTGGACACATGGCCCTGACTCTATGAAAGCTCCTAGGGGGTCCTCGTGATCACCAAATGTCATGCCTTGTAAGGTAGTCAAATTATTTAAGGCAGTACTCCACCATTAAAAATCAACCTAATCACAGACTTGACCTTCAAGTGAAACTTTACCACTTAGTTCCATTTCCTACATCAGGCACATTAACTGTGCACCTATTATGTGCCAAGTACCGTGTCAGGCACTGTATATCTCGTAGGGGACAGAACACAGCACCCAGCCTCACAGAGCTGAGTGGAGTGTCCTTGGTCGAGCTTCTAAAATGCCAATAGTCTGATATATTGTGAATATTTCAGACCTCGGCTATTCTCCATTTTTATACAGAAAGAACTACTGAGCCGCCTGGAGGTCCATAGAGGATAATTGAATCACAGGTTTCACAGAGTGGGACAGGCAGGGTTTTCGTCTTTGCCAATTGTATCTTATCTGCCATGTGCTTGTAATCATTATTTACTTATTATTCCAAACTCAGTACTTCACATCATGCTAACCTGAAAGGAAAACTTTGTAACATTGCTAGAACTTGGGTCTAACCAAACAAAATGACTGCCATAAATTAGAGTGTTCCTTGGCCACCTTTGGGCTGCCAGTTTCATGTCCAACCACAATGGTAAAAACAAACAAACAAAAAACACTTTCAGGGGTTCTTGGGGTGTTTATCTGTTTTGTTTGCTTTTCTGTAATGAATCTTTTGTCTATTTAGTAAACGCAAGTGTCAATCATATTTTTAAAGCGTAAAATATCCAGGATCCTCAGGCTATTCTTGGTGTCAAATGCTATGGCCACACCTCTAAAATTCTGTGCCATTGGCTGTAGGTTTAGAAGCTCTGATGGTTGGTTAGCAAATGAAATAAATGACCCCTAGGGCAACGCTTTCTCCACCCATCCTCTCGGTGGCCCCCTCCCTCTCTTCCTCCCCCCCCTCTCTCTCAGTCATAGATAATGGTGATCACCATGCTTGCATCATTTCCTGATTTCACTTGGGGAATGTCACCTTTGTAAATGCACAGCACCAGACTGACATTTCTACAGTGTTTAACTCTTTCATCTGCAACCAGTTCTTCTCTGAACTGCTTTGTCATTTTACACCACTTAGGAAATAGTGTCTGTGAGCTTAAGACAGGAGCATTGTAAGGCCTATGGAGGTGGCCCAGTGTTTAAGAGCACTGAGCTCAGGTGGGTCGCAGCCAACCATAACTCCATCTCTGAGACCCAATACTTCCGGCTTTTGTGGATATCTTTTGCACTCGCACATGCCAACACACACACACACACACAGAGAGAGAGAGGGAGAGAGAGAGAGAGAGAGAGAGAGAGAGAGAGAGAGAGAGAGAGAGAGAAATAAAAATAAATATTTAAAAAAGTAAAAGACTAGCATGTTGTAAAGTTTGGTAAAACCAGACCTTAAGTATTTGCAGTATGTTGAATGCTAAAGTCTATACAGCTATCTGGTTGACCAGATTGTATTTTCTTCAAGATTCTTTTGGTATTGAATATATTCTTAATTTAAAAAAATAAAATGCAACAGCGAAGAAATAAATGTTGCATAGCCTGAGGTCATTGGCTGTCACACTAATCATGGATAGCAGCTACCATCTAGAGATGAAATCAGAATTAAGCCCTAGGAGAGTAATAAAGGACCTGAACCCATACAGCTGCATTCTATATTTCGACTCAGAAGTCTATGCCTCTTATCTTAGGCACTGTTGAAATGTTTGGCAGTCTGTCTCTGGAGTAATAGGGTGCTTCTACTAAGGGTCTTTAGGGTAAGAAGAAACAATAAAATTAAATAGCAGTGATATAAAAAAAAATCGGGTCATCCAGTGTGCCTCACAAACTCTAAGGGCACCCCGTGCTGGCACTATTGGATACTAGCTGTTTTGGGCAATCCATCTTTGTCAACTGGCAAAGTATATGTATGTTGCATAACTTTATAGGAGGGTAAAATACTGTTTTCAGAATAATGTCTATTAAAAGTGAATTACTATGATGCTTAGCCTTACAGCAAAGGTGGTTTTAATCATCTTCTGTGGAATATTTCATTTTCTGACAAGCTTAGCAGGATGTAATACCTAGAATTATTCTTGAGTGGTGTGCCTTTAATCCTGGTACTCAGGAGGCAGAGCCAGGTAGATAGTTCCGGGCTAGCATGGTTTACAGAGTAAGCTACAGCCAGGGCTACGTAGTAAGACCCTGTCCAAAAAAGAGGTGGGGAGGAGGAAAGTGTCTTCTGAGGTTGAAGAAAGAAAGGGTATTGAGCACATTTTTTTATGACCTTATTTCATTTCTAAGAAAAGCCAACCACTCTAGTGATTCAGAAAAGTGTGAAGTCATTATGGAAGGAAAAAATGTATTGTAAAGTTAAATGTTTAAGTTTACTGGCTTGTCATAATGTAAGATGGATTTTCGAGTTAATTGTTTGTATCTGTCAATGTGGTCCAGGTGGTAAAGCCAAAATCCCCAGAACCAGAAGCAACGCTGACGTTTCCATTTCTTGACAAAATGCCTGAAACAAACCAACTGCATTTGCCAAACCTCAGTTCTCAAGGTGAGGATCGGGGATGGGAAAGCGTTCTCTTACATCTCCGTAGTCTGCTGGGACCACCTGTGAGAAATCCCTTCACATGAAAAGCCAGTTGCATCCTCCGTGTGATGTTCCTGTAGCCATATTCCTCACTAGCCTCTGTGAATTGAGAATTTCAGATTGGAAAGCTGAGATGTGTTTCCTGTTTGACAGCAGGAACTCCAGCCACTAAGACCACCTCATCACCTAGGCATTGTGGGTACAACAAGGCCTAAATAGGTATTTGGACCTTCAGACTTGTTTTTCTTTGCTCTAAAACATAACAAGATCATTATAAATAAAAACTCAACTTGTCAAGAAGTTTATCTTTTAATGTTATATAAACTTTATTATTAATTACAGTCTATAAGAATACCCATTTTATCTAATATTAACTTTGGGGAAAGTGATAATTTTTTTGTTCTATGGTAAGTCTTGGGTGTATGCAATGATTAGTGTTAGTTACTCAGCCAAAATTTTACTCTTTTAAAAAATTCTTCATGGCCAGGAGGTGCTGGTGCACACCTCTAATCCTAGCCTCTAATCCTAACACGCAGGAGGCAGAGGCAGGCCAGCCTGGTTTATAGAGCACAGCCCAGCACAGCCAGGGCAAACACAGAGAAACCCTGTCTTTAAAAAATCAAACAAACAAACAAATAAAATTCTTCATAATAAGAACATTTAATATTTTCACAAAATGAACAGTAAAAATACATGAAACATTTAAAGATACATCTTCAATATGTATGTAATCACACATACACACTAAGGACATGTTTTAATGTGTTTAACTCATAACATACTATGGGATGCATTTTAATGTGTTTTGTATATTTGCTATATTTTAATGTTTGATATAATGTAGGGAAGGGAGGATAGTATTGAGAAATATGGGAGTTGAGGATCTATGAAAGTCTTAAAATAGTGCTGGCTCCAACTTTGTGGACCATGTATGAGTTATGAACTCACCCTTTTATTCCTTAAGAACCCAGCTTTACTCCCTTTATCCTCACGGGAAACCCAAGGGCTCACACCACCATGAAGGACCTTAGGAGTGTGAGCTGGGGAAGATGGCTTTCCAAGAGTGCTGCCATCCTTGGGGAGTATCCCTCCAGGTAGACAGACTCAGGCTGCACCAGTGCAGACTCTGTGGATTGGAAACAACTAGAGTGGGAGATGGGGTTGTAAAGTTCCATGTGCTTCTTTGGTGACATTTCTCTCCAGGGTATTTTATAGATCTGACTGCCAGAGGGGATGGTGTGACTTCATTATTCATGGTTTATCATTACTTCTCTTTTAAAGAGTGAAAAGCTATTTGGGGTCATCATTAACACCATCTGAGTTGATCTCCACTAACTTTTGTTGATCATTTGGGGGGCTGTATACAAAACAAGGAGCATTTGGTAGGAAACTAAGTGGTACACATACTAATGGGCATTAGTCTCTTAAGGGAGAGGCAAATTCAGTACTACCTCCAAAGCAATTGACCCAAAATTTTCTGTTTTACAGTCTTGAAAATAACTAATAAAAATAAAATCTCATAACTGGGTCAACCAATTGTCCATATTTAGATATTGTAATTATGTTCCATTTCTAGCACTTTATGTAAATAAGAAATATAGTTAAGATAAATTTGTAAGCCTTATCAATTAGTCTTGATGCCTTTCATCCCCCATTGAACACAAGGCATTCCAGTTTTGAGAAGTTGCTATTGAGTTACGGAAAATTACATCATGCTTTGTCTAAGTTGAATAATGTAAAAAATAAAAAGTCATAGCACTGGAGTATTTTAAAAGTAATTGCTCGAGGGAGAATTGGATTTTCCAGGTCCTTGTTCTTCTATGATATGGTTCATGAACTCTGAGATTTTAATTGTGAACTGGAGATAGAACACCAGGGTTTAAAATCCTCACTCATCAAGCTCTTAGCTGCATAGTTTTCTCCTTTTTGTTTTCCCTAAGGGCTAACTATCGCCTGTCAAGTAGAAATAACCACAGATCAGTTTTTAGAGAATTGGCTTTAGTGGTTACAGAGTAACAGTGATAAGGGTGTAAGAATTGAGCCATGTGCTAAGCAGAAATAATAAACTCTTCTAGGATGCTTTCTTTAAAAAAAAAAAAAAAAAAAAAAAGCATCTTCAGGACATCAACACAGCCTGAAGCAACAGTCCTCAAACATGAGAGAGTGCCTGAGCCTGCAGGGCGGGGCCAAACCCTCAGGGCCTGCTTGTGTAGCTCTGTGCAGACTCTCACTGTCTGCACTTCTAGCAAGACCACGTGTGCAGGTGACATGGCAGTCCAGGGAGCTCAACCTGGAAGCCCTGACTTGAAGGATTTCTTTAAGTGGTGCCTCAACGACACTGCTGATGGATGTGAAACTGACTAGTGCTCCTTTAGACTCTGCAGAGTGCCGGTCTTTCTGGAAGCCAGAAGACTCTAATAAATGGAGCCTTTGAAGACATGATTTCTTTGATCCAAGTGTAGTGGGAGAAGCCATGGGTTATGACCCACATATAAGAATTTGGTGCACACTTAAGCAACTAATATGAATTCCAGCAGCCAGTCCAGAGGAACCAAAAGCCCTGGAGCAACACCTCATAAATTCTCTCCCTCTCCCAGAAAGTGGTGTCTCCCAATTTCTTTAAAGTCATCTATTTATATATGCTCACACAGGCCACTGCAGATCTGCCTGTCAACCCAAATAAGATTCCTTGGGCACACACATGTGCATCAATACAGCCTTTCAGCACTCTGGAAACATTCATGAAATGCAGCGCTAAAGCTGACAGATTCCCTTTATCCAGCTCTTTGGAAACCGCAAGGTTATGCCAAAGTTATGTTTCTATAAAACATGGGCTCTAACCTACAGTATCCATTGCTCTGCAGATGCAAGTAGCAGGGCCCAGTGCATAAGGTGCCAATGCTTGCCAGGAGTTGTGTGTGTTCGGGGCACTACAGGCTGTCACAAACATGTACCTGTCTGTACGTGTGACAGGAAGCCAACCACATCATTACCCTTCATTGGGTGTGATGTGGATACCATCACAATCCCCCCACACACATCTATACTGCCCTTTATACTTCCCTAGAGTTGCTTCTGCACAGCGTACTGCTGTATCATCATGACCTTTTACCCTTAAACAATATCCCCACTGAGTATGGGCCTAGGAACTTTGACTCAGCATCCACACAAGAGGAACACAGACTGTCCAGTTCTACTGCCCATTGCCAGGTTTTACATGTACTCTGGTGCGCTGCCTTACAGTAGCTTGAAAGACCTTAAGTCCTGGCTGAACTACAGCTAACACTTCTTCAGCATGTGGGGATGTGTTCTCCGTTCTCACCCAGTTTCATGGATTTCTGTTTATTCTATTTTGCCATCTGATCTAGAGGTGCCTAGCAGTGCCAGTGTTCCGCTGAGAGTTCAGAACTCTTGGCGACGGTACCAGTTTTTCTCCCAGTCAGGTAAACAACATACTGGATAGCTGCATTTCTTTTATGTAAAAATTCATGTTGGGGCAACCAATGGTGTCTGTTGTTTGTCTTCATTTCTGATTTAAGATATTTAAAAGAAAAAAAAAGATGCTTGTTTGCAACACACAGTTAGCAATGAGCTTGTTCTTTGGTATCAATCAGCACGGTTGTACTAAAATTGGGAGGAATTTCACAGAATTTTATGTTGATTTTTGAGATGCCAGAGAAATAACACCATCCCATCTGGCTCTTTGCCATCCCCATCCCCTTTTAAACAAATATTAGAAACATTTGCCACAGATGTGGTGTTCTCTTGTTAACTGTGTCACTCTCTGTTCTTCCTGGATGACATCAGCCTCTCTGTGTGGTACTTCTCCATGTCAGACAGTGGGGGGGGAACCTGCTCCCTTCTCGGAATGCAAGGTGTACTAAGAGCTGGCACTAATAGCTATAGTCATTGCTTCCTGGAGTCTAGTACTGGCGCTGCTTGATGTGTTTCATTCCTCATTCCTTTTGGTGATGGGCACAACCTGCCGCAAGGCTCTGCTTTACTGTGATTTTCTAATGCTGCCGAAGTTAACATAGGAACCACACTCGACTGAGAGCATCAGAAGACCAGCGCAGCCAGCAGCCACTTGTACTGATGTCTTCTTTTTTGTCTTTATTCTATGTAGTGGATTCTCCAAGCAGCGAAAAAACTCCTGTCACTACGCCTGTAAGTAGTCCCTCTCAAAGAAAAAGGTCATGCATCTCCAGTGATTTTTAACTCAAATTTGATTTTCTTAAAGAGTATTCAACCAAAACTGAGATCCAAGCATTTTTATTTTGGAACTATTTGAAGCTTCCTGGTAGGTTGTAAAAGGTATGGATTGTCACTATATGAAGTAGTTGTCCTGTCCTACCTTTGTATCCTTGAGTCCAGGTTTACATACTGACCGTAGGACACTAGAGGTAGTTTATAAATCCTCCCTATTTAATCTTCCCAGAATGTGCAGTGAGATGCAAATAACTTTGTCAGGGTTATTGTAAGCCCTACTTAAAATCATCATACAATTGCTACTATACGTTGCCTGATACAAGAATCACATGCACGCACGCATGCACGCACGCGCACTTCCAGTACCACTTAGCATCTACAGGCAAATTTTCTACCTTTGTGGCCATGTAGAATGAACCACCCCTGTCACATAGCCTTGATATCTCCAACCACATTTCAGAATGAGGAACCATATGTGAAAGTTCAATCACAAACCAATACTGGTAACCCCGAGTTTCCTGGAAACTAAGAACCTCAGAATGGCTGTAAATCTAGCATCACCACACACAGCTGAAGAGGATGATGCAAGCCATTGACTTACAGCAAGGCTGTCAAGCTATTCATGTGTCCCTGGGTGGGGATGGAGAGGAAAAGGTATTGCAAAATATATATATATATATATATATATATATATATATATATATATAGTCGATTCCTGTTTGGAGAAAGTAGAACAAATGAGAGAATCCATGGATTCAGAAAGAAAATCTAGCTGTGTTCTTGTTTGTTCCTAAACTTGCTAAACCTTCTCTAAGGATTTTGCTTGTTCTCAATCTTGGGTTTGAGTACTTATTATGCTGGCCTCAGGCCTGGGGCTCCATTCATCTTGTTCTCAAGGTGGCATTAACCCACTTTGGAGAAAGCTGCCATGGGAAGCAATAGCAGTATAAGGGGCTCACTTCAGAGACATTGGTCCTTAGATGATGCATTTCTCCTGGTGTACACCAGAATTAGCATGTGCAGTGAGCATCGTGCTCCAGAGCCTGGATGCTTCCAGGACTTATCGTGCTTCTGGGAGAAATGACTCAAAGCCTTCTCATTCCTGTGGTTGGTCACTATGTGTTTCCATTATCCATAAGAGGCACAGAGGCACAGAACTAGCCTGACCTTTTAGCATCAAACTAAAAAGGGATTAAGTTTGAAAACAATTTCTGCTGCCAAACAGTATGTCCCTTGGGTACCATGTTGGAGGCTGATTGTCTTCTTTTGCCCTGGCCAGCCCTTGAGGACCTGTCTTAGATCTGATCATCTTTGTTTTTCCTGAGCAGTTCAAGTTCTGGGCATGGGACCCGGAAGAGGAACGTAGGCGACAGGAGAAATGGCAGCAGGAGCAAGAGCGTCTGCTCCAGGTGGGACCAGCCTGCTGATTCCCCTGTGTTCAGTAACTGTGCACTCGTCATGGCTGTTGCATTGGGATAGATGTTTAGCACAGGGAACATGGAATCCAATTCTCAGAAACTCATAAGACTACTGATGCTTTGTGTCCAGGTGACAGAGTCTTGGACCTGATTGTTCCTGCTAACAGGTCCAGTGATAAGAAGAAGTGGGGGAAAGCATTCACATTAATACTTTAAAAACTGTATCTCTAAGCAGTGATTGTCAGTCTACCTGTATTCATTACCTCCTTAGCCACCAATTCCCAGTTCAAGAAGCAATGGGAAAGAATTACCCAAAAGCTATTTGATAGCATTCAGGTAGAATGAAATTTGACATCAGTCTAATTCCTTCAACTGAGTCTTCCCTTCTTTTTTTTTTTTTTTTTTTTTTTTTTTTTTTTTTGTTTTTGTTTTTTGTTTTTTGTTTTGTTTTGTTTTGTTTTTTTGTTTTTCAGTGAAAGGTGATAATAGTCAATTCTAGAAATATTCTGAAAAGAAATGTTCTTCCATTTGCCTCATGTTCAAAGTGACCTTTGAAACTGACCTGTTTGTTTACTTGGGGTGTGCTAGGAACACATCCAAGTATCCCTTGTTTAGCTGAAGAGGTGAAGGTTCACAGAGGTTGACTTAGCCCCTGGTAGTACATGACTGATAGGTGCAGGGCCTGGACCCAAATCTAAGTCTCTATAACTCTAAAACTTATGCTGTTTCCACTACAAACTCACTTACATAGAGAAATAGTATAACCCTCGTTAAGTTTGATGATTCCTTGCTACTCTAGAACTGAAATGCAATGTGATTTATTCTACTTTCTCCTCATATTTTGTCCTAATCCTTTGCCCCGATTTCCATGGAAAAAGGAGTAGTTTCTGTGGTAAAAATCAACTATTTCGATTTAGTTCTGCAGTTCAGTTTAGTACCTTTGAAAACTTCAAAGGGTTGGGCTTTGATTACTCAAATGATAATAAGAACCTCTGAATTCCTATTCTAAAACTTTACAGTATTCTTGAATGAGGGCTTGTTTGTTTTGGTTTTGGAATTGGCTTTGGTTTCTTTTTTGTTTTTTTGTTTTTGTTTTTGTTTTTTTTTTTTTGTTTTGTTTTGTTTTGTTTTGTTTTGTTTTTTTTTGTATGTTTTGTGAGACTCACTAGGTAACCCTGCCTGGGCTGGAGTTTACAGAGTCTCCCCTGAGGGCTGGGATTACAGGCATCTGCCACTGTACCCAGCTTCTGCAATATTGAGTTCCGATAATAACTTTTTACTTGTATCTACAACTCCTGCCATGGTTTGGCCAGCAGTGCAGTGTTCTACTAGAATTAGCAAGAACACCAATCTGCAGATGTCCCCATGAAAGCCTTTTGCACCTGAGTCATTATATAACAGCTGCTGTCTAGGACACCTCAGTGCCTTCCCCTTCCAGAGAGACCCACAGACAGTCCTGGCCTAGCCCCAGACAACTGACAGTAATCAGTCAAGTGTTGGAATGTGTGTGCACAAGCCCATGTCTCCTTTGTCTGCCCATGAGTACACCATTTTCCAGGTGTTCGTGGGATCAATTCTCATTTCAAACATTGATTTTAATCTTTACATACTCTTCTTCTGATCAGCTGTCAGGGACTCCCTGCATATTTTTTATGCCATTATTATTCCAAGTGTTTTATTTTCTCTCAGAGGTAGTGATGAGTATTACACTATTTCTGAACACAAGTTCTCACACCAAGCATTATAATTAGCTGTTTAAAGACTTTCATGATTAAAGTTACTGTGAGCTGGACCTGGAAGAACTCATCTCATTGCCATGGTGTTAAGCAGAGTGTTTCTGCCTCTCAGCTGATGGTTGCCTTCAGCACTTTGGTCCTTTTCTGCCCTGTCTCACTTATAAACTTAGCAGGTTTTCTTAACCTTTTATTAAGTCTTCTTGGCAACAGTGTCGGTTGGTTCTGACTTTGGTTGGTTGGTTGGTTGGTTGGTTAGTTGGTTGGTTGGTTGGTTGGCTGGTTAGCTTTTCAGGGATGGGGTTCAGACCCAGACCATGACACATGCTATGCAACTACATTCCCAGCCCAACAATATATTTCTATTAGTGAAATAGCAAGCTCACCTCTGAAAGACTCAGTTGCAGCAAATGCAAACTCTGTGTGTAGCCTACCTAGGACCTGCCCAGATAAGGGAGATTGTTAATTTTTTTTTTTTATGAACAAATGTCCATATGAAGAGAAATTCTACAAAACACAACAGCAGAAATCTGGCTTTCCTTGGGATTTTAAATGTCTATGTTAGTTACTTTTCTGTTTCTCTGATTTTAAAAAAAAAAAAAAATGCCCTGAGCAAAAGCAAAAGCAAGCTAGGGAAGAAAGGTCTATTTTGGTTTACCATTCCAGAGGGCTACAGTCCATCACAGTAGGGAAGGTGTGGTGAGAGGAGCCGGAGGCCTGCCTGGCAGTCATGAAGCAAAGTAGTCACATTTCATTCATACACCAAAAGCAGAGGAAGGGAGATCAGGCTATAAAACCTCAGAGCCCTGCCCTAGTGACATACTTCCTCTAGCAAAGCTCCAATCCCAAAGGTTCCAGAACCTTCCCAAACAGTACCACTAACTGGAACCAAATGTCCAAATAAATGAACCAGTGGGGGACATTACTCATTCAAACCACATGTACCTAACTTGTATGCATAAGGCCCAGCATTTCTTTTCGTTGTGCATATGTATTAAATTCCAAATGCTCACTCATGAAGTCTGCCTTGCAATGTATTGTACGTGGTGCTTTGAAAGGGGGGGGGGGAATATCTCAGTGATGAGCGCAATGATCACTTCCAAATGTTCTCTGGACATCCCATGACAGGAGAGGTACCAGAAGGAACAGGATAAGTTGAAGGAAGAGTGGGAAAAGGCCCAAAAGGAGGTGGAAGAAGAAGGACGCAGGTACTACGAGGAGGTAGGACATTGCCAAGAAGACATTGTCAGCACGGTTCCTCAAAGTTGGTCACCACCCTTTGTGTCTGCAGTACATGCTGGTTGTGGGTGTGTCATTGTACTCACAGCAGGGTCCCTTCAGTCTCTTTCAAGAGAACCACATCATGTGAGTTCTAACAGGGAGAGGGACCCCCTTCCCCTACCCTGTGGATTGTGGGAAGAATGGATTGAACCCTGTTCAAGAAGCCACTGTAATCACATCTGTTCTCCATTCAGTATCAGATTCTTGATCTGACTTAGACAACATAAAAACAGCAATGTATTTATTTATGTATGTATGGTCACTTGCAGCAAGAGTATCTGGTAGTAATGAATTCATTTTATAGGATAACTTTAGCTAAATACATCCTTACTATTGACTACATTTACTACGCCATGCTAGAGGAGACAACAACAAACAGGCCACATCACAGAATTTGGAAGAGGTTATCCAAAGTGTTATCTAAAATTGTTGTCAGTATTGTTGGGAACTTTACCTTCAACAATAGCTTAACTGATTAGCTCCACGGTAGTTTTTTTTCTTAACTGTGTTCTTCTGTAACACTAAACTTGGTGTTTGTAAATTCAATACAACACTCTAAACTACTTCCCACTTGGTGTTATTTGAATTGTATGCTCTGGAAAAATAAGATTTCCTTAATGTCCTGCCTATTTGTATATGTTCTGAGGAGTCTTTTTCTGGAGTTCCTTAATGTATTTGTTTTTCTCTTGACAGATAGTTAATTTTCTTTTCTTTTGTTCATTTATCCTTGCCTTTGCCTTAGGAGCGTAAGATAATTGAAGACACTGTGGTCCCATTCACCCTTTCCTCGAGTTCTGCAGACCAGCTGTCCTCTTCCTCATCTATAACTGAAGGTGGTGGGACCATGGTAAGGTCGCTGCTGAAAACCAAGCCTGACATAAGTAACCTAACCAGGTTTCCCATCACACTTAGTAACTTAAAACCAGAAGTGGCTATCCATCCAGAGCTACAGCAGCTCCTATATGGCTGTCACCAAACCCCAAGGCCCTTTCCTGCAGAGCAATAGTCATTGCCCTGGCTAGATCTTCCCAGACAGCTAGCAGGACCTCCAGTAGCAAACCCATGTGCTGGAGCCTTCTTTCTGCTTGGTTCAAGCATCACTCTTTCCTTCCACAGCCATGTGTCCCTCCCCACCATGCCATGCATTCCTCCGCATTACTTGGCGGCAGCAGACATGCCCCCAGTGCATTCCCACCAGCTGCCATAACACTGGGTTCTTACCTGACCTGTGTTTGAGGGTGGAGAGAGCCTGTAAAGGCTGGTCAGCTCCACATCTCCCAAGTAAGGTGATAGGGGTGCTAGATAGAAGCATGCCAAGACTTGTAAAGTAAAATAACTCATGGGTACCAGAGGCCTTTTATCCTGAAGTAGGCGGTCCCATGACTTCATTTTGTTTTGTTTGAAGGAGGGGGTGGTTCTTGACCAATTCCTTTTGTGATAATTTTTAGAAAGGTCTCAATTGCACATTTATTCTGTTTAGAAACCAGTGAACTCTGTTAGTTTAGCAGACTATCTTTTCAATTGTAGGCAGTAGAACTGACAGAACGGGGTCTGCGGAGAAGTAGAATAGTGTGGCTACAATCGAAACACACTGTATGCATGTATTCAGTCTTACAGTGACTCTCATTCACTGTGCAGAAAGTACATATTAATAATTTCTTTAAAATTTAGAGCAGAAAGTTTTCATTGTTCAAAGAAAGGAAAAGGTATGGATTGGGTTTCAGTGGTTCATGGTCAGATATAAAAGTCATCTAGTGTCTTTTAAAATGATATTCAAAATGATCCCAGTTTTTCTACCAGAAGAAGATAGACTTGGAAAACTGTCAAGACAAAGAAAAAGAAAGAAGACCTTTCCAGGAGAATGGCAGTGACTCATTGCTCAAGGCCAGGGAAAGTGGTCCACCAGAGGAGGACAGGTTCGTGCCCATCCCAGACTGTCCATGGGAATTCCCAAAGCTGGACTCTGCCACTCTCTGGTGGGAAGGCAGACCCACTCCTTTAAAATGATCACCTAAAGATGCTGTTTAAACTTGCTACAACAGCTCTGACTTCAGTGCCCTTGTGCTCTTGAATATATAGACTTAGCTTTAAATAGGCAAGGCCAGTTGTGGTGACAGAAGAGATAAAGGGATCATAAACTTGAGGCCAGCCTTGGGTATATAGTGAAAGCATATCTCAAAAAATTAATGAAATATTAGAGCTGGAGACATGGCTCAGAGGATAAAGTCACATACTACTCAAGGCAACAACCTGAGCTCGATCCCCACGTAAAGGTGGAAGGAGAACCCAACTCCACAGAGTCACACCCTCACTCTCAGACACTGAGCAGGGCATGGTGTTGGAAGAGCAACTGTTTCCAGGTTACACTGCTTCAAAGTCTAGGAAGTGAGCCATTTCTTAGGAAGATCTGAAGGATCCCAAAACACACTCCACATGCGTGTCTACTAGTTCTCCAGACAGGCCTTGCCTGTAAATTTGCTGATTCCTTTCTCCAGGCTGGCCTCGTTGTCACCAGAAACTTTGCTTTTATCTCCTTAAATCTCCTTAAATCTTTTCGTTCACTGCACACAGAAGTCACTGAAAGGCTGGAGAATTAACCAAGGCTGCAGAGATCCCAAGTGACCCCAGTAACTTATTTATCCATTTATTTTTAGATAGTATATCCTTTTTCAGCCTAGGCTGGCCTTGAACTCACTGTAGCCCCATGTGAACTTGAACTCATCATTCTCCTGCCATGCCTGGCTTCCAAGTGAAACCTGTAGTGACTGCTCTCTTGTGAAAATCTGGGGACTTTGGGTTAACTTCCTAGAGGTGCTCAGCATGGAGAATCTCATGAGTAGGGAGGACTCAGAAATGATCATTTCTTGACTCTATTAAGATGATGGGCACTAAGAAATGCATAGTATTTTATAACAGTTTTAGATCTAGTTTAAAATAAAAAGAATAAGCAGTCTTTTTCCTTTCCTTAGATTGCAGTTGCTAGCTGTGTGTATAGAAACAGTAAGTTTGATCCTGTTCCTGTTGTCTCTACTGCTAAGTATGTTTCTTTGTTTTAGCATTAGCAGCCTAACTCAAGGACTCTCAGCTCACTCTGAAGACTCCATATCAAAAGGAATCCATCCTGACCAGCAGCCAGAGGCAGAGGCCAGGGCCCCACACTGTGGTCTAAGCCCACAGCTAGCTCAGGGTAAGAGTGGAGAGACAAATCCCAACATTTAAGTTCCTGTAAACCCTCACATAGTCCAGAGCCTCTGCTGGCAGTGAATATCTCTCCAAGGACCCCTTAGCCTGGCTTCTGTTAAATGTTTAACACATAAACTCCCACCATATGACCAGACTCTACCCAGGGTCCTTGAGGTCTCAGTGAGACCTGAACAGGTGTTAGCATTTTACAAAACAGAGGCTTGCAAGTGATAAGTCAGTGAGTGAGGTACTTGCCACTAAGCCTGAAGACCTGAGTCTGATCCTGAAGACTCATGCAGTGGAAAGAGAGAGGTGATGCCCAAAAGCTGTCCTGTGGCCTACACACACACACACACACACACACACACACACACACACACACACACCTGTAGCATTTGCTTTCCCCATCTCTCACACACACACAAAATAAATAAATTAATTTTTGTACTTAAAAGGAGGGGCTAGAGAGATGGTTCAATGGTTAAGAGCAATGTCTGCCCTTTTGGAGAACCCAGGTTCTGTTTATTTCCAGCATCTATATGGCAGTTCACAACTGTCTGTAACTGCATGTCCAGGGGTATATGACTTACTCTTATGGCCTCCATGGTATTGCATGCATGTGGGTCACAGACACACATGCAAGGAAAACACACATACACAGAAAATAAAAACTTTTTAATCAAAGGGGGACTTTACAATAAAACCTTTAACATAAACAGCACATCCTTCAAATGTCCCAAATAGCCCTACCCCATAAAATGCTCAGATAGACTCGGCCAAACCACATTGAATTATATGTGCTACCTGGCCCAATAGAATTGCTGTGAGGACCAGAAGCCATCATTGCTTTACAGGACAGTGTGTTCCCGGTATCAAAGTGACATTGCTGAACACATTTATGTTCCCTTCTTGGTCTTAGAGCCACCTCAGAACCAACAAGTGTCAAACCCATCAACATACACATCGGAAGAGGAGAAGCCCAAAACCCTGCCCCTGGATAAAAGTGTCAATCATCAGATCGAGTCTCCGGGTGAAAGGAGGAAGTGAGTAGACAAATAAAATGGGTGTGGGAGTCCTTTAAAAAAAAGTGTATTGACTTAGATGGGGGAGACGTGTAAGATGACAAGATGTCAGCAACATTTTTGGGCTTTGTCTCCATTTAATCGTTTTGAAGCACTCGGGTATATTAGTTTAAAACTGTTTCAGTGAGTCTTCCCAGTACTGTTACGATTGATAATCCCAGTTCTCAGATGAAGAATTCAGGGAGTTACATATTTTTCCTCCAGAATTTGACTGGTTAAGTGTTAGAGGAAATTACTTCACAATAAGACTGCAGTTAAGCTGTGTGTTACACCTTGACCACATTAGGCCATGTGTCATACCTTGACTACAGTTAAGCCATGTGAGTGAGTGAGTGTGTGTGTGTGTGTGTGTGTGTGTGTGTGTGTGTGTGTGTGTGAGTGAGAGACACCTTGACCTCAGTTAAGCCATGAGTCACACTTTGAAGGTGCTGGCATTCATTCCTTTAACTCGTCATTCCTCTTGGATCTGGATTGTGTGGCTGCAGGATCTGTCTGCCTCCTACCTCCACAGAACCTTAGACCAGTGCCTTAGCTTGTCCCTGCCTTCATTTCCTCATTATCAAGTGGGAATGAAACGGGTCCCTTCCTCAGATTCCCATACCTGGCAAATAACCAGCACTGCAGTGTGGGGTGGTAAGCCTAGCCCCATTAGCTTCCCTTCCTTTTCGACACAATGTTGAACCACCAGGATCAGCAGGAGATTCGATGACTCGCAATGGTTACTGTGGTAATTTTCAGCCTTTTTTTTTTTTTTTTTTTTTTTTTTTCCTTTCAAGCCATTGTGCTTAGTCTTTGAAAATGTGACTTTTTGAGGAGACAAGTGCCATCCGAGTTGGGGAGGGCAGGGTGAGCAGGGAGGGCCTTGGGGGATCTCAGAGTCAAGCAGTCAGGAGACAAGAGGAACTTTGTCTGTCTCTGTGTTCTTGTTTTCCTTTCCTTGTTCTTTTCTCTGTCCTGACTAGTTTTTCACTCATGAAACTAGCTTTTCAGAACTGAAAACTTGATCCCACACAGGACTCCTTAGCAACCCCTGCACCCATGTGACATGCCGGCAGCATCAACTTGGGGCCCTTCTGATTTCTCCTGACCTAATGAGTGTCTAACAGTCTCGATGCTGCCCTTCGTTGCAGGCATCTGAGGCAGGAACCATGGCATTGAAAGTCACTTCCTCTAAGTTCTGCCCTGTTTGCTTGAGTGGCCATGTGACCCTAGCTGCATGGCATTTTTTTTCTTTGCAAGGTCTTTGCCATAAGGCAAATTTAAAAATCTCCCCTAAACTTCTGGGCCCCCCTTAAGAATTTCTTCCTGTGTTTTTATTCATCTTTCAGCCCCACTAAGCCAGTAGTTTTCACACAAACTAGCATGCAACAACAGCTTGTTCAACAGTGTAAATAATAGCCCAGTAATTAAAATGAAGAATTTACCAGTGTTCTCCTTTCTAAGCAGCAGTATGGTTTTCATTTTACATACATGTACAGTTCTTCTAGACACAATTACTAATTTTGTTCCAAAAAGACAAAAATAAACAAAAACCAAGTGTGGTAGCACATGTTCCTAACCCCCACACTTAAGAGGCTGAGCCAGAAGGAAGACTAAGCCAGGCCAGCCTGGGCACCATAATGAGACCTTATCTCAAAACAAATAAATGGAGATGCTAGTAGGAGACTCCTTTGTAGTCCTTCTGTTTTAATTTTAAGCTAAAATGTCTTTTATCACAGCTTCTGTTAACTTTTCTTAACTGTGGGCTCCTTTGCCGTGTTACAGGAAAAGCCCTCGAGAGAACTTCCGGGCTGGGCCCTTGTCCCCCTGTTCTCCTACCCCTCCTGGCCAATCACCAAACAGGTATAAGAGGTCAGCGAGCCTTCCAGAGGCTGTTTGTGTTCCAGCACCTATGGGCATAATTCTGGCCAGATTAGTGCTTGCCAAGTGATGCTGGGAGACATCCACATCCCTTCCCCCCCACACACACAAAGTGGGGAGGAGTCAGGAAAACATCTCCATCTGCCTGCAGATTCATCAGCATGGGGTAGAGAAATTCAGATGTGTGGTGCTGGCCGTGGTCGTTAGGTTTTAATGACATTGTGTGGAACATGAAATCTAATAATAAAACCCACCAGACAGTTGCTGGGCTCCTACAGCAGTGCCTCTGCCTCCAAGATGATCAACCCTCAGAGGACAATGGACTCCTCCAGAGAAAAGGAGAGTCTGGGAAACAAAGCTTCATCCTTTTTTATCCTTCCCTAGATCTCTAAGGGTGGTTTTAGACATTAATCAGTCCCCATGACAGCTTTAAAAGCTGCCTAGGTGTCTGTCTGTTTCAGGCACAAATACCTAAGGGCTCAGTGGTTTTCACTGATTTCAGAGGATTTCTTTTCACGGCTAGATAGAGGGAAATCTTAATTGGTAGGGTTTAATGAGACCATCTCTTTGATGAGACCTCTCAATGTCTGTCCTTCTGTCTCCTCTGTCCGTCTGTCCTACTGTGGGTTTCAGATGACAGTGCGTGCTTGTGGATCATGGGAAGGCTGCCATAAAAGGACAGCCCTGTGGTGGCAGTTGTTGGGCAGTTGACCCTGCCCTCTCACCTGATGTGACCTGCTGAGTTTAGCTTCAATCTGTATGTGGACAGTTTCCAGAAATGGAGTGGAGGGTGGGGGTGGGGGTCCAGTCCCAGGAGTTTACAATGTAGACAGAAAGCAAGTACCATTCCTGTAGACGGTTTGTTCTGGAAGACACAGTAGAGATAGGCTGGCCAACCGAACCCTTTACAGGGAGAAGGGAGGACCCAAGGAGAGCCCTTGATGGCACACCATGGTCTCTGGGCCTCCACCAGGCACCTTCCCTCCTCCATTTCAATGGACTCTTTGTAAAGGAAATGCAATGGAAACCACTGAAGCCACATTGGAACCTTAATACAACTGAACCCGAGTGTCTCTGTAGGACCTCTGTGTACATATAGTACATAGAGTAAATCACCCCAAAGTGCTCAGCCACAGCAGACTCAGCACCATATGGAGGTTTATCACCTTGCTGGCAGTGTATGGCTCTGCTTAATTCTAAATTCATTGCCACTTTATGACCCTCATTTTATCCGTGGTTTAAGCACTTTTTTTAAATCCATGTCTCCATCTTTTCATGAGGCTGCTTGTTGAGTGAGCCAAGGTTCTCACTATGTTTTGTTTGTTTGTTTGTCTGTCTGTTTTTGACCCAGGTCTATTAGCGGGAAGAAGCTGTGCTCCTCCTGTGGGCTCGCTTTGGGTAAAGGAGCTGCAATGATCATCGAGACCCTGAATCTCTACTTTCACATCCAGTGTTTCAGGGTATGTACACAGCATTCTCCTCTCTGAGTGGATGTAACTTCCTGTAACCTTGCAACCTCTCTTTGTGTGGTAGAGAAAGATGTGTGTGTCAGGTCCAGGTGTAGACAGATGTGTGGGTCAGGTCCAGGTGTAGACAGATGTGTGGGTCAGGTCCAGGTGTAGACAGATGTGTGGGTCAGGTCCAGGTGTAGACAGATGTGTGGGTCAGGTCCAGGTGTAGACAGATGTGTGGGTCAGGTCTAGGTAGAGACAGATGTGTGGGCAGGTCCAGGTGTAGACAGATGTGTGGGTCAGGTCCAGCTCTAGGGATACATCTCTCCAACCCTGAATCCCTCTTGGAAGAAACATCCTTCTAGAAGAAAAACAGATCTGTGCAGTTTGTCTTCCCACACTTTTGTTGCTAACAGCAGACACTCCAAAGGGAAGTTGGAAACAAGACTCTAGGAGATAGCATGGCTTCTGAGTCTTTGGGGCCTTAAGGATTTGTTTGAAATTTCTTTGCTGTCCTTTATCTCTTATGATCTCCTGTGACAGAGTTTTAGGTGTCGCCCTAGCAGAATATTTTCTGCCCAGTAAGTGACAGTAGCTAGCTGTAAGATTCAGTTTTCAGAGAGAGCATGTCTGTGGCCTCAGATGGTGGCTGCCTCTGAGAAGCCCTGTATTGAGTCCATTGATCTGTTGTTGTTCCTTGGTGTATTGTGTTGTGTTTTGTTTGAAACAAGGTCTCACTGTGTAGCTCAGGCTGGCCTCAAACCACTCACAGTCCTCTGCCTTAGCCTCCCTCGTGCTGAGGTTACTAGCATGCACCACCACAGCCAGCCAGTCAGTGGCCTTTGCTGAAGAATCTTAGTCCCATTACTTATTAGTATGCTGTGTCCATCATTAGCTTCTGTAATAAACAGTGAATAAGAGTAATGACTCTGTCTTCCTCAGTCGCCACTGTTTTTCCTTTGTGTCTAAAGGAGTAGTTATCAATAAATATTTTAGATGGACTTGTGCATTGTACAAGAGGAGCCTAGCTTCCAATACCAGGTCTCCTGCAACATGTTAAACATGGTTTGCTGTCAGATGAATAAATTATACCACACCAGCGTATCCCAGCCTCTCTTTCTACTCACAGCTTTCAAGCCAATATATTTGATTCTGAAGCCAAGCCTTCTACTTCTGGATTTGAGTCATTGTTTTCTCTACATGATGCTAGTACATTTTCTTTTTCTATTTGGATTCTGTCCTCTTTCTTGTGGGTAGCGTCCTTGGTGGCTATACCATCACTCTGTATGGGATTTAATCCCATTGTATGAGGTTAAAATAACTCACTTTGGGCTGGAGAGATGTCTCAGGGGTTAAGAGCACTAACCACTCTTCCAAATGTCCTGAGTTCAATTCCCAGCAACTACATGGTGGCTCACAGCCATCTGTAATGAGATCTGGTGCCCTCTTCTGACATGTAGTCATACATGCAGGTGTAACACTGTGTAAGTAATAAATAACCAAATCTTTAAAAACAAAAACAAAAAACAAAAAACAATGCAGGGCTGTGGTGGTGCACACAACAGCTAGGATTGTTACACAGAGAAACCCTGTCTCTAAAAAATAAAAATAAATAAAATAACTCACTTTGTTCCTAGTATAAGAAACAGCCAATAAGTTTACAAATCACAAAACATGGTGAAATGCAGTTTCTATCATTTGTTAACTATGTCCCTGTGACCTGGCTCGTCTTAGAGCAGGACTCTGAACCCTCTGCAAGGGGCCGGTGCCTGGATGAACCCCTTAGTGCCATGTTCTCTGTTGCAAGTGCCTCCTACACTTCACATCTACTCTCAGACCATTCAGCAAAGGAGGATTTGTCACCCTGGGTACCACACCTCTAATGATGAAATACAAACAGTGTCCCACGCTACCGTCTCGCCAGCAAGAATGACGCGGCACACTCAGGATCCTTCTGCAGTAAAGCTTTAATGCATCTTGAGAGGGAGAGCATAAGCTTACAGAGCAGAGACCCCAAACATCCAAAACCCAACCCTTATATAGGTTTACAACCTTCGCCTCGGACATGTCACCTCCTGATTGGCTGTAGCCCATCGGCCCATATGACGCCACGGGAGAGGCAGAGGCCAAGGGAGGGAAAATCACCCTGCACCTGCGCACTGACTTGTTTACTCTCAACGCCAGCCGGATGCAGGCGCCATCTTATAATGGAGAATGCCGGGACGGCTCCCTACAAAACAGAATGTGTTCCTTAGTGATTCTCTGGTTGGATGTGCTGGAAAGTCTAGATTATTATTAGTCAATCATCAATGGATAGCATTGGTTACATGTTCATTTAAAACCAGTAGGATGTAATATGTCAGAAATGGTCCTTTTGTCTCGATTGAGAAATTGAGCATTGTAGCAGTTGAGGAGGCCCTCAAGTCACTACAATGTCACCTACCAGCTTCCCAAACCCAGGGCAAACAGTTAGTGTCTCTCAGCCTGTGTCCTTCTCTGCATAATACAGGAGCTGAGATAAAATGGTCAAAATATATTTTACTTTTTGCCATAAGTTGGCTTATGATGGCATATCTAACTTACAATAGATGCTCAATGAACATGGAGATCATGGAAGTATCCCTGTGTGCCTAAGATAAGCAGTGTCTTAGTTACTGCTCTATTGCTATGAAAAGACACCATGAGCAAGGTAACTCTTGCAAAAGAAAGCCTTTCATTTGGAGCTCCTGGTTCCAGAGGATAATAGTCCATGACCATCACTGCAGGAAGCAGACAGGCATGGAGCTGGAGTAGTAGCTCAGAGTCTTGAACCACAGGGAGGAGGCAGAGTCAGACACGGGGCATGGGCTGGGCTTTTGGAGCCTCAAAGCCTACTTTCAGTAGGCTCCAACAAGCCACGCCTCCTGATCCTTCCCAAACAGTTTACCATGCAAACAAATGAGCCTTTGGGGGCATTCTCATTCAGACCACCACAAACAGTCACCAGCATGTTCCAGACACAAATCCCTGTTCATCCTATAACTTTTGTCCCTTCTCTCCTGTAGTGTGGCATTTGTAAAGGACAGCTCGGAGATGCTGTGAGTGGGACGGATGTTAGGATTCGCAACGGTTTGCTAAACTGTACTGACTGCTACATGCGATCCAGGAGTGAGTATGGAGAGAATGTCTCCCCCGATCACACTTCTTCTGTGGGATTTGGTGCGTGGATTCAGTTATTTCCTGCCTGCAGTTGATATCCCTATTCCTGGAAAGAAGATTCTTAGGGTGTAGTCGAGGAAATGAAAAGCTAGCAAGCGGCTGCTCCTTGCAGGAAGTTCCTGCTCTAGTGGGCAAATGACCCTTACCTAGGAGTATACGAGCACATGGCCAGGTAAAACAATAGGCAAGCAATAGGTCCCTGCCCGAGCTCACTGCAGGGACCTTGCTGAGGCAGAGGAAGGCTTAGGGTCTGCAGCACCGTCCCTTGGTCAAGCCTGTCTGCAGATTCCAGCAGAAACTGGTGCAATGCCACGTGTGGCTGTCCAGGGTTTGATAGATAAGAAAGAGCCCACTCTGCAGTGGGAGAGCCCTTCGGGAGTTTCATTACAGAATATGGTTTTGTTCTTAAACGAACATGAATGTCCACTGAAACACAAAATGATGGCGACTTCTCTGACCCCACCCACTTCCATTCCTTTAAACACAGTAAGATCCTTAAAAACTGGCTGGTCAAGGGGACTTTGTGGGTTTCCCAGTCAAGGTGTGTGGTTTATCTGGGAGCCACCAGAGGGCGCTGCTGTTTAACTGTTCAGACAGTTTGAAACTGGCCCCGGGCTAGCAGAGACCTGAACAGCAGGAGACTTTTTAATGCAAATTCACCTTGAAGAAATGGCATCTGAAATTCAGAAATATTATTTGTCAAAGTAAGTGAAGAATTATTTCACTGGCTTCTAGATTGGAGGATAAGAATAAAAAACAAAATTAAATTGTTTTCATTTATAGCTACAGGTTTATTGCATTAGAGAACACAGAGGAATGTGTGTCTGTTAGTAAAATGAGGTGAGACAAAATCAAATGCAGGTTATCTGGATCTATGATAAACCTTGAAGTCCATATTGTTGAATAGCGGGAATTATGATGTTATGGATTACACATGGCATTAATTGCCATACTTAGTGTAAAACGTATAAGCACTATTCAGTATAACTCATGAATATGCATGTTTACAAATACAGATGCATCCATACACTTGTATTGCCTAACAGTTGTATTTCCCCACTACCATCACCACCCATCCTTGCAAGACAGCGTTTCTCTTTGTATGTAACAGCCCAGGATATCCTGTAACTAACTCTGTAGACCAGGCTGGCCTTGAACTCACAGAGATCTGCTTGCTTCTGCTGGGATTAAAGGCAAGCACACAACTGTACTTACAAGTAGGCTTTTATGCGTTTTTTTTTTTTTTTTTTTTTTTTTTTTCGTGCTTTAGGAAGAAATTTCCCTCTATCATTCTCTGTAAATTATGCTTTCTTCTCAGTCTCAGCAAGCGCCGCATAGTCCCAGAAGGGGGCGCTGTTGGAGTAAGAGACTGTGGAAATATATTGTGGAACTGAATTTATTTTATTTTATTTTATTTTATTTTTTTGTAACTGAGCATGCTCAGAAGATGCCAACAAGCCTGAACCTGCCTCTGGGTGGCAGTGACCTGTTTTCATCCAGGCTTTTTGGGAGTTGGGGTGATTTGTTGTCATTTCCTTTAGAATTAGGTTTCTGGCTGTAGGCTAGAAACTTCTGTTACATATGCAAATATAAAGGGCATTAACTGTTTTTAATTCTGACTAAAGATAAGAGCCAAAGAATTCCTGGAGCGATTTCTGTAATAAGGAAGGGAGACTGCACAGGAGATTTTGTTTGTTTGTTTATGATGGATTTTTGCCCTTTGATTAGCACATTTTCATTGTACCAGATGCTGGGTTTCTTCATGCCATTTTCATGTGTGTAGATCCTGTGTGCTCATCCTTTTCATGGGGGGGGGCAATTACCTTTTCTCAAAATAGAATGATACTGCATTTTTTAGGAGATTAAATACTAAGAAGAAAGCAGGGTGCCGATTGTTTCTCTGCCCGCTATATCTGTGTAGACATTCAAAAGAATAACCACAATAGATACTATAATTCTGTGAGGCTAGAAATTGTGAACTGTCCAGAAGCATACTAAACTGGAATCAAAGTCTCTCTGTGGCTACCCCTTCCCTGTGGTTTCTTCAGAGCAGGGATGGAATTGGGGGTCTGTGTCTTGGGCACACACTTGCACACGATCTGCAGCTAGCTGCCTATGCTTCACTCCACTGAGTGAGTGGGGGCTCTGTGTGGAGTTTGTGTTACAACTGTGTTCATTTTAATGCCTTGTCAGCATTGCCGAGTTCTTTCTTCTGGGTGGCTATTCGTGTTGTTTCCAGTTTTTGAATAGTACTTGCCAAATACTCCTGTGGACAACCTTGCATGTATCTGGATGAAGATGTGAGGTCATCTCCAATGGGTAGACACTGAGCAGGTGCAACATTGCATTACAAGGCATGAGCTTCTTACAGTTTCAGACATCTTGCCTAATATTGTCTAAAAACAAATGAGCCCTTCCTGCAGAATGCATGGAGAGCTTCCCCCTTCTCTGCTGATAGCAGCTCTGCAGATTTTACCCCAGGGCTGTGGGTGCAGCTCAGGAAAAAGTGCTTGATTAGCATGAATAAGAACCAGCAAAAACAAAACAAAACAAAACCTGAAAAACCCACTCGGCTAGGCAGGGAGTAGTTTAGATGTGTAGAGGGGTGCTGTGGTGTAAATGTGTGTGCAATGTATGTTCGAGTGAAGATCAACAGCACGTCTTCCACAGTCACTGCTCACCATATATTTTGAGACAGGGTCTCTCATTGAACTGCAAGTTCACTGCTTTAGCTAGCCTGGCTGGTCAGCAAACACTACAGATCCACCTGTGGGCACCCACTCCCCAAGTGTTAGATGAAGACATACACCTCCATGTCTGGCTTCTGTATGGATAATAGGGGTCCACACTCAGGTGTTCATACTTACATATTTACCAACTAAGGCTTCTCTTCAGTCCTAAGACGTTTATTTTTAATTCTGAATTTAAACCTCTTCGTGTGTGTGTGTGCGCGCGCCCGTGTGTGTGCGCGCGCCCGTGTGTGTGTGTGTGTGTGTGTGTGTGTGTGTGTGTGTGTGTGTGTGTGTGTTTTAACTCCGTTTCTGTTTTTCTGTAATGTGATTCTCTGTCCTTTGTCCTTCTTGTTGGGACCTGATCTGTTGAAGTGCTTTACAAGTTAAACACTTGCCTGGTGTTATATTTGTGCATGATGCCCTTATTAGTTTCTTCTTCTCCTCCTCCTCCTCCTTCTCCTCCTCCTTCCCCTTCTTCCTTTGTGATTTATTTTCATGTAACCAACTTTCATTTTAAATAAATATATAAATTATTGGCCTTTTAAAATTTTGGGTCTTATGTTCTACTCAGGGAAAGCAACATTTTGTATTCCAAAGGTATAAACAAAAGTCTCTTTCTTTTTGTCTTCCCAAAACTTTCTGAAAGCTTTCCCATGATTGTTTTTTCAGGCAAATGTTTGAATCATTTTAAATTAAGTTTAATTAAGTGAACACATGACAAGGGGGATGACTACAGTATATAGGAGTCTCTCTGTCTCTTTGTCTCTCTCTATCTCTGTCTCTCTCTCCACCTCTCCCCTTGCTATCTTAAGAAATAAATGTACTCAGGAATGATGTGATAGGGTAAGAATCATTTAGCTGAAGAACTGTAAATGTACTTGACAGGTTGACTGTATCCTCAGATCTAAGTGGTGTGGGCAAAGGTGGCTGACAATGATTTTTTTTTCTTTTTTAAAATACTGCTTTGGATTGAGAAGAAGAGAAATAGATTGATGGAAAGTACAGTTTACATCAGAGGCATTCCAAAGAAGCAAAAAATAAAAAAAAAAAAAAAAAAAACCACTTCATTCTGTGGAATAATAAAACCTGAATATTTAATCCTTTCAAGTAACTATAGTCACATTTAAATGAACTTTTTTTCTGTTGGAGGAAAAATGGCATTAAGCATATTCAAATGCAGTCCCTAAAAGCCACGTAAGGAGTTTTTAAGTTCATATGTAAATGGGAATGGAAGTGCAAAGCAAATTAGCCGTCATGAGTCAAGCCATCGCATGTTTAACTAGTGCCGCTTGTGCTTGGGCATTGGATGGCTGCCTTTGTACATGGCACTCCGCTCCATCATTCACTCCAGTGAAATAAATGCACTTAGCACAAACTCCCCCGGGCCTTTTCCAGTGTGTTCGCCTAATCATGACTGTAGTGCTTAAACTGGAAAAGAAACCTTTGGAAAGCTTCACCAAGAAATTTAACCCTTCCTAGATTGGAGAACCAGAAAGAATACAAGACACTCAATGAAATATTTGTCATTTGTATTTCATATAAAACCATGAATTTTTGTTGTTGTTTGGGGGAGGTTGTTTGTTTGTTTGTTTGTTTGTTTGTTTGTTTTCAGTATGTGCGTTTGCAAATTCAAATGCATATGGGAAGCCAGGAGTGGTGACCTTGGTTGTCATTCTTTAAATGCGTGTGTGTGTGTGTGTGTGTGTGTGTGTGTGTGTGTGTGTGTGTGTCTGTCTGTCTGTCTGTCTGTCTGTCTGTCTGTCTGAACCTGAAACTCAAGTTGCCAAGGCTGCCTGGCCAGCAAGTCCCAGAAATTCACCAGTCTCTGTCTTCCCATTGCTCAAATTACTCCCCTGAGTCCCGTTCTGTAAGGTGATTAGTGGGAATGGCTTGGTTTGAGATAGTCAGACTCACACAGATTGACCTCAAAGTCACTATATAGCCAAGACCAGACTCTAATTTCCCTGTTGCCACCTCCCGTGTGCTGAGATTTCAGGTGTGCACCAGCACACCCAGCTAAACAATAGCTTTTCACACTGGCATTTCAGGTGTATAATCTGTTTTTCAATATATCTGTGTCCCATACATTTCATGCTCCAGGTTTAGCACGAGCATGTCCCAAATATCACAAGGGATTTGCTTACATTTTTAAAATTTGTATTTATCTGGAAGTCAAAGTTATTAGGTGTTCTGTATTTTACATGCTCAATCTAGCAATCCGGGTTTTCAGGTCGTTTAAATTTCTCTGGTTTCAGAAAACTGATTGTTTGACCTAAGACCTCAAGAGAAAACAGTCTTCTTGCTTATGTGTCCCAAAGGACAAATTAGAAAGCGTGATGGGGGCCATTTGGTTCAGGGGAGATCCAGAGTCCTTACATTGGGCTTGAAGTACAGACACCACCTGCACACCTGGCTGTGTGCATCTGAGGGGCTCACAGCTCTGTGTTCATACAAAACCCATGGGATGCCACATCCCATGCCCAGAGGTGATGCTGAAGGCATCAAGGTGAGCCATGACTCCCCTTCCTGTGGGGAAGAGACATTGGCAAGGGGAACCGCTAACTTGGGTTTTGAAACATACAGATGAGACACATTAACTAACCCAAGTTTCTGTTTTTCTCACCACAGGTGCTGGCCAACCTACAACACTGTGATGTGGGTGGGAGTTTCTGAACCACTGAGCATTTCTCTATTAAGGGTGTCCCTTGGCAACTGCTTAATTAAACCCCAAGTTCAGGGGCTTCCTAGCATTCATCTAGTTTCTGGAAGACTCTTCTACAAGGTGGTATCTGCTCTTTTGTATTGTAGCACAATGTTTGTGCTTTTTCTGGTTGGGGCTGATTTTTTTTTCTGCATTTGCACAGTATATACAAAAGAATATTGCATTGTAACGATCCTGAACAGTTAACAAAAAAACAGTTTTAGCATGGGCGGAGGGGCTTATGGTTGAAAAGGTGTCACTTGATTCTTTGGGAAATAGCAAAAGGGTGCAATAAACCTGTTGTGTTTTAGTATTTCTAGAAATTAAACATGTTATGTTTACAGAATTGAGCTGCAGGAAGTGTGAAACATGCCAACTTAAGACAGGAACATAAAGTGAATGCATTTCAGAAAAACTAGACACCCCAGAAAGCCCTGACTCTGAACTGTAACTTTAGTACAAAGACACTAGTCTGATAATACATACTGTACTCCTGCAAACTTTTGTGTTACTTACCTTTGGGGGGCAGAAATCCTACCAATAAGTTATCACACTATTAGTATTAGATTTTGTGTACCCTGGAAGTCCTGTCATTAATATAGGCTGGCCCATCAAATGAAGAGAGCCCATGTGATATCGCTAGACTTCCACCCTATGACATTGTGCAAGGGTAGGAAGAAGCAGGAAAAAGATAGACCAGCCATTGTCTTCAGATGTACTATAAAATCTATGAGGAAGTGTCATCTGCCTGGGTGGTGTGTCAATGGTAGGTAGCCTTGAGGCTTGGGCCACCTGCTTTCCCCAAGCACTGGGTTAGGGATGTTGAGGGGTTTGATGTGAGGATGTGGGTGTTAGACGTCATGGACAGTCTGTCTTTGAGGATGAGCACATCTCATCTTTACCTGCAAGTTTTCCTTGGGGGCTGAAGCCCAGGTATCCAAAGAGAAGCATTAAGTCCATCCTAACAGAACGGGATGGCATGGTGTGACAAGCCCACATCCTGGTCTGTAAGTGGCAGCAACACAGGGCAGACTGTGTCCTCCCCGCTCCCACGGACCTGTGTGCACCTTCATTCTCCCATGTCACCTTCTTTACTCTCAAGAATCCTGGACCTGACCCGGTGGAGTCTAGAAAGGGATGCCTGTGGAGATCTGTTTTTTTTTTTTCCCCTCTGCCCTATGTGATAAGTTTCAGCTGGACAGGACAGGAATGAAGTGGCTAAACCAGCATGACTTAGCTCTCCAGGCAGTTTTCCTTAAGACTTGGGGAAGGGGGACTATTTATTCTGCCTTAAAAGGATGGCAACTAAGTAACGATGATGTTAGGTGAATGTAGACTATGGATACACTCCTAGTAGGCTAATGTAGCATAGAGAGTGAGCAAGTAGATGTTTTTCTGTCATGTTAGCAATAATTTTTTCTGTGTCTTATGGAGTATGGCTAGCAATTATTTATTTTCATGCTAGACGGTTCTTTGCATGTGGGTTCCCTATAGGTGCAGGCATCTCCTGGCTACTGGAGGCATATTGACCACTTTGTCATTTGGACGAGCTATTATTGGATTGAAATTCACACACCATTTCATTAAAAATTGTGCCTTAGAAAATGCAAAGCTGTTGCACATAGTGATGAATGGCAGATTCAGAACACCGAAGGGAAATGAAGTCACTTCCCAGTTCTCATGATTTCTCTCAGAGGTGTTTGCTGCTCTACAAGGAAAATAAATAAATAAAAGATTTTAAAAGACAAAAAAGAAAAAAAATTTAAAAAGTTTTGAAAATGTACAGATCAAGTCCAATATTTTGATGAAGCACCTGCATGTTTTATTAACTATTTTAATAATGTGGATGTTTACACTTTGCATGACATTAACAGAATACTTTACAAGAGACGATGCACAAAACATGTACAATATGGTCATTCATAAGCAACTTTTATAGAATACTTTTTACATGTGCGAGGCCATCCATTATGTCAGGAGCATATGAGTATTGCACATCTTTCCAGTTTCACAAAGCCATTTATACACATTTCTTAGAGAGACTCATTGTATGTGTAGTGAAACGAGACTAGAGTCAAGAGGAATAAGCCCCATCCCCAAGTGTGGAGCGTGCTTTCCCGTAATGAACACTAGTCACCAGCCTGGAATAATCTCCAACGTTTTCTAAATTCTAATTGCCAACTGTTTCTATTTCTATTTGATTTATATTTCATTTAGAGCCAGTTACATGGCAGCTTCAGCAGTCTAGATCTCGTTGTTTTCCAATGCAGCATAAAAGACTATGATCTATTTCTCTTCAAATAATCTTTGAGATCCCAGGGAAAAAAAAAACTGCTCTGTTTCGTGGAGCTGTAATGTAAATGTGTTTGTTTAAAACCCAGACAAGGCAAGTGAGTGATTGATTGTTCCTGGGGGACTGTAGCTGAGTCTCCCACTCAGACTCCAAATGCTTCCTTCCCAAGGACAAAAATGGGTGGCTCTGTTTCTCACTAGCAAACTTTCATGCCATTTGTCCTTCTATGTAATGTCATTAACATGATACATATTCTAGTTACTTGTACATGGTGTAAGATTCAGTGAACTGAAATGCTCCAACTTTCAATGTGAGTCCATCCAAGACATGTTCCTGATCTGGGCGGGCGACATTCTGTGTCAATTACACTAACTGTCATTTACAATATTTATTCTAAGATGCCTCTGAGAAATAGTTTAAAAAATTAAAAAATGAAAAGTTGTCTAAAATGCAACAGCTTTTATAGTAAATGTACATTTATAAATAAAATACTCAAATCCACTTGGTATTGCTTTTATTATTTCCGTGGGGGGGGGGGAGCAGAGTAATTCTTCTTGGGGAACAGAGAGTCTTATGGCACTTGGCTCAGGGCTGCATTGTCAGATGACGGCAGAAGTGTGCACCTGAGCTCATCTATTTTTGAAAAGTCAGGGCTGCCAGCCAGTTGTCGGGGTTGCTATTCCCTAACAAGGGTAGGTTTTAATCCTTGAAATAAGACACACAGTGACCAGAAGAGATCATCCAGGTGCCTATGGGAACTTCTAGAAGGAAACAGGTATGATCAGTGAAACAGCGCTAGGCCTGTGAAGTCAGTGTTTGCTACCATTTGCCCCCCCCCCCACTTCCTCGGTGTTCCTCACTCACTGAACACAGCTGGCCTCACTAAGGGCCTTTACCTCAGTTACTGGAGACAGGACCAGAGAAGATGCCACAAGACAGTGACAGCGTCTTGGCACTGTCCACTCCTTCTGAAGCAAAGTGAAGCTTTGCCTGCACTTAGTCCCATGGGAGAGGTAACAGCAAGAAAATCCCTTGAAACTTTCTAATGCTTTAGAGGGAACAATATTCTACTTGCCACTGCTGTTTGCATGGGGTTCTGATTTTTGTAATGTTTGGCAAGGGGTTAGCTGTTGCTGCCATCACCATGAGAAAGTAAGTTCCTTTCTTTAGTAGAAGAGTGTCCGTAGTTACCAGAGTAACAGTACAATCACTGGGACTGGAGAGATGGCTCTGCAATCAAAGAGCGGGTACTGCTCTTGCAGACCAGGGAAGTTAGTTCCTAGCACCCCTGTCAGGCAGCTCACAGCTGTCTGTAGCTCCAGTTGTAGGTGATTCAGTGCCCTCTTCTGGCCTCTGCAAGTTCCTGCACTCTTATGCAGGTTAACCTACACACAGTTGGAAATAAAAAATATGTCTTTAAAAAAACACATTGTCACAATGAAAGCCCTGCAACTAGAATGCATTTCAGAATCAACAAGTGTTACTCTGTGAAACTGAGGAAGGATACCTTTATTAAAATGAAAAACATTTTTTTTCTCTGCCATATTGGATTAGCTTTCTTTCCATTCACTTTCTTTAGGTTCTAAGGACTAAATGTTTTCCTTTCCATTCTTTGGTATTATCTGCAGTAGGCATTGGAAACTAGCTTGGCTAAGTATTGTGCATGAGAACAGCAGCAAGCTGAACACAGTTCTGTCTAAAGAACTCAACAAACTCTAATGGCACCCATCTGCTTGCCTGTGAAATGTCCAGTTTTAAAAGTGAACAGTTCAAAACTCCCTCTAACACAGTGTCATCCCTAATGACTGAACTCAACAAGATGGCTCAGGGGGCAAAAGCACTTGCTGCTGAGACTAATGATGAGTTCAGTCCCTGGAACCCACACAGTAGAACAAAACCAACTCCGATGCATTGTTCTCTGACCTCCACCAGACAACATGCCTGCATGCACATGTGTACACATGCTTACACACACAAATCGATTAAAGAAATTTTTTTTCGATTTAAAGTGATGGAACTCAAAATGATAATACATATAATTGTGTACATTACACAGGAAATTGGATGGCAACCTATAACTATCTTTTTGTTTTATTGGCTACTACTAATTTGCTGTGATATGAATAATTTATTGACAAATATACAAATTACCAGCATTTCAGGGTGTTTGGGGTTGTGTAGAGAAAGCCAACAGGCTCCTGCATCACCACAATGCTGAGACATTTGAGTAGCTTTCTGGTGTGTTGTTTCAGGAAATGCTACTGTCTGGGCACAGTGTTTGGGTTCCAGATTAAGTGTGCCTTTCCCCTAAATAGTTTCATATTTGATTATAAGTGTCTTTGAGGGACTCAAAAGATTTTTTTTCTTTCCTTAATCTGTTTAGCATTATTTTAACAGCTGTACTATATCAAGCAGCATTTTATTTCTAAAATCACATTTCTGGCATGTTCCAAGATAGCTCTATGCCTCCCCATGTTTTATAGGTGAGACACTGAGGTCTCAGAGGAGTGAGTGATATGTCTTAGGAAAGTCCAGTATTGTACAGAATTGTGTATTTCACCAACTTCCCCAATCATGATTGATCAGGATAAATTCCTGTTCAACTGTTTGTCCCAAATTCTCAGACTTGGGGACACTACCAGAGACCCAGGAGGATGTTTGAGCATTGCTGAAACTGGTAGAATTCCATCTGTCCCCAGGTGCAAGAACAGTGGAGTAGGGGGTGTCCTCGTGCAAATTCCCCTGCAAGCCTTTTTGAACCAGTGTTTTCGTGTAGTCCAGGCTGGCCTCAAACTTAGGCTCTCTCTTCCTCCGCCTCCTGAATGCTAGGGTTGAAGGAAGGTATACTTGTCTTACAGTAAATTCACACTAACATACCCAAATGAACTCAGCACTCCAGTTTTCCCCTTTGTCTTAGTTTGGGGTTTCTATTGCTGTGATAAAACACTACATCTAAAAACAACTTGGGGAGGAGAGGGTTTATTTCAGCTTACAGTTTATTTCACAATCCATAGAGTTCCCCATCACACGGAAGGAAATCAGGGAGGACACTGAATCAAGGAAGACAATCACTGAAGGAAATCAAGGCAGGAACTGAATCAGAGGCCATGGAATTACTGGCTTGTTTAACCTGCTTTCTTATGCCATCCAGGACCACCTGCTCAGAGGTAGCCACCACCCACAATGGACTGGGTACTCCCACATCAATCACTAATTAAGAAATGCCCACAAACTTGCTTGCAGGCCAATCTTATGGAGACATTTTCTCAGGTAAAGATTCCCTCTTCTCAGATACATCTAGGTGTGTGTGAAGTTGACAAAAGACAACTAGCATACCCCTTGGGGCTGGCTTTTCTTACTCTGGGGGGAAACCCAGCTCTCCTTATGGCAAGCTTCAGCTACATAGATGTTTGTGACAGACAGGCTGGGATATGACAGTGTCAACCCCAACCAGAACTCCCATGCAGCCTTTACCACCATACACCACCTCCAAAACTCCCTCCCCTCTCCATGAGTTTGAAATCACCAGCTCCTCCTTTGCTTCCTAGCTGGGCTCAGCTTTCTCACTTCGCCAGCAGCCAAGGCTAGCAGGACCAGGATTCAGTGCTCTTGGATGGAAGACCCCCCGGTACAAGAGTAATGACCTTGTGTCTGAAAGCTGGTATCTCTTAGCATTCACCAGACAGATGCATGATTATTTCAACAAGTTTTGTGGGTTAGAACACGTTGGCAGAGAGAGAGTTTTAGAACAAGATATTGGAGGCTCCTATGACCACTCATCTGGCTTTGGAGCCCATGACTGAAGTCCAATGTGTAATTAGCTGAGGGGGAAGGATTGCTTGAGAGCAGGGCTTGAAGCCCAGTCTGGGCACTGTGGCAAGACCCTGACTGAAAGGAGGAAGGAGAGCCTGTCATGCCAACAGCACTCTGGCTCTGCACAGGTATTGAATCAGTTACCATTCACACTCTGATCTGGGAGCATTTATTTGGCTGTTCCTCCTGACCATGAACAAGTATGATCATAAGCAGCCCTGCTTTTCAACACTGAGAATGCAGAAGCTTGGTCTTGCTTGTATGACAGCACTCTAGGAACCAAATGGAATGTTTGGAAGTTCAGCAAAATGGGGGTGGGGATGAGGTCTTACTGAATAGTAGCTATGAAGATGATAGAAAATTATGGGGACAAACTAAATAGCATCAGACTAAATAGCATCTCAGTGCACAATTGTCATAAATCAGTGCCACACGAGAAATGGTTGGTTAATGCCATCTCTTCTGCAATAATATAAACTCCATGTGGGTAAGCCCTCAAGTGCCTTATAAAAATCAAAATAAAAGGATAGGAGGTTGAAATATGTTTAAACACAAACTTTGGAGAAACTTAAGTAAACTCTTAAAACTAATGATAAACTACAAGAAAATATTTCCAAAAAATATGACAGAAGATTGCTGCCAGTACGGTTCCTCAGGAAAATGGGAATCAGTCTACCACAAGATCCACTCGAGCATATACCCAAAAGATGCACATTCATACAACAAGGACATCTGTTCAACTATGTTCACAGCAGCATTATTTGTAATAGCTAGAACCTGGAAGCAACTTAGATGCCCCACAACTGAAGAATGGATGGAGAAAATGTGGTACATTTATACAATTGGAGTACTACTCAGGAGAAAAAAACAAACAAAAAAAAAAAACGAAACAATGGAATCTTGAAATTTGCAGGCCAATGGAACTAGAAGAAACCACCCTGAGTGAGGTAACCCAGTCACAAAAAGACAAGCATGGTATGTACTCACTCATATATGGATATTAGACATAGAGCAAAGGATCACCAGCTACAGTCCACACTGCCAGAAAAGCTAAGAAACAAGGAGGGCCCTAAGAGAGACATATATGGTCTCCCGGAGAAGGGGAAAGGGACAATATCTCCTGAGCAAATTGAGAGCATTGGGGGGAGTAAGATGGAGAAAGAGAAGGGGAGAAGAGAGCAGGAAGATTGAGTTGGGGGAGGAATAGAGGAGAGCAAGAAAAGAGATGCAATAATGGAGGGCGCCTTTATAGGTTTGATGAGAAATCTGGCACTAGAGAAATGTCTAGAGACCTACAAGGATGACCCAACTAAGAATCTTAGCAATAGCAGAAAGGCTACCTTAAATGCCCTTCCCCAATAATGAAATTGATGATTACCTTATATGTCATCCTAGAGCCCTCATCCAGTAGCAGATGGAAACAGTATCAGACACCCACAGCTAAACACTGAGCTGAACTTCTGGAATCCAGTTGCAGAAAGGAAGGAGTGATGAGCACAGGGTTCAAGATCAGACTGGGGAAACCCACAGGAACAGCTGAGCTGAACAAACAGGAGCTCATGGACCCCAGACTGACAGCTAAGAAGCCAGCGTAGGACCGAACCAGACCCCCTAAATGTGGGTGTCAGTTAGGAGACTTGGGCAGTCTATGGGGCCTCTGGGAGTAGATCAGTATTTATCCCTAGTGT